GAAAATTATACCACTAAAATTAATTAGGGCTCTATTGTCATAAAAATATTTAGATAATAAAATACAAAGTCTATTGTACGCACACTTTATTGTAAAGGAAGAAACAAAAGTTAAAATGGTAAGAGATATTAACATGAATTCATCATTATAAATACTCCGCATATAAGTCAAGAAGGGGTAAGAATATAACATTAGTGAAGGGATAAAAAGAATTGAAAAATGATGCTACTAAAATAAGAATTCATTTTCAAATTATAGCCTAGAATATATACGAGAAATTGAAATATGATTTGATATTAATAAATGTGTTAGGATCCTGAATTTATTTTTCAATCTTAAATATATTAATCAAAGTGAGATATTTTGATAGCGGTCAAATTTAAAATTATTTCAATTGCACACCGTCATTCACTAAGGGCTTGTTCTCGTCACCTGATAAAAATAAGTTTTAGGTCTAATAAGTTAGATCAGTTATAATAAGGTCCAATAATAAGTTAAATAAGGTTTAATAAGTTACATTAAGTTAAATAAGGTCTAATAAATTTCAATAAGTTCTAATCAAGTCTAATAATAAGGTCTAATTAGTAGGGGTGTCCATTCGGTTTTTGGTTTGAATTTATCCCAAATCCAATCCAATCCGATCCGAAATAATTTTAATTTTCAATTATAAAATCCAACCCGATCCGAATTCCTCACCAAATCCACTCTAATTCAAACCGATTTAAAATTCGGTTATTTGGATTCGATATGAGAGTGCAAATTAAAATACGTTTCAAATATTTTGGGCCTAATGCGAAAATAAAAATTAAAATACAATAATAAAAAAATTAATTCTTAAAAGTATAGTTGTACACGATTAATAAAAGTATTGAAAACGTAAGTAGGTTACATGATAAATAGTAATAATTATAATAATAGTTTAGCATGATTATATTAACAATACTTATTCATAAACTAACGATTTCATATTTAATTTATTTCGGTTTTTTTGGATTCAAACAAGGTCAATCCAATCCAATTCAAACGTCCGAATTTTCAAAAAAATTCAATCCAATCCAATTCGATTTAAAGTTCGAATCCGATCCGAATTAATAATTCAGTTTTGATTTGATTAAATTTCGAATTTTAATCCGAATGATGGATACTTGTACTAATAAGGTCCAATAAGGAACAATAAGTTCAAATTAGTTTAGTAAGGTCTGATAAGTTCAATAAGGTATAATAAGTTTGATAAGGTGTTACAAAGTTCCAATAAGTTTCATGACTTTGAAATACGGTGTAAGTTTTGATTTTACAAATACAAATATGATTCCTTTAAAATTAATATTAATTATTTTTGAGTTTTTAAATACCAAAATGATACTTAAAATGAAAATTTATAAAAAATAAAAAGATCAAAACGTGTTTCTTTATACCTCCATAAGATTCGAACACAGGACGACTATCCATAGTCATTCAAGGGGTTTGTTTATTACTAGACTAAGGGGTATCAGCACATACATTGGATGAAAACAAATTAATTTTTATAGTGTATCTATTAGACTAAATTTCCTGGCTTATGCCCATAAATAAGGGGGGTGTTAAATACCGCCATCCAAAATTATCAAAATCGCCAATATTTAGTGTGAATGGACAATCATGTCCTTAGTACTTCACTACTATCTTCCCTCTTGCCATCAATCACTAACACCTTGACACCACCACCCTAATTGACGACTAACACCACCCCCACCACACTGACCGGCGACGATCATCACCGCACTAGCGACCCACCACCTTCCCTCTTTTTATTTTTATTTTTTATTTTTAAATTTCAGATTTTCAGGCAATCGCGGTAACCAAAGCCCAAAATCAATTACCGTGTATGGTAAACGGAGCCCAAAATCGGTTACCGTGCATGGTAACCGGAGCCCAAAACCAGTTACCGTGCATGGTAACCGGTTTTGGGCTCCGGTTACCATAGAATCGATTAAGGTGCACGGTAACCGGAGCCCATAACCGGTTACCGTGCATGGTAACTGGAGCCCAAAACCGGTTACCATGGGCTCCGGTTACCACGCACGGTAACCGATTTTGGGTTCCGGTTACCACGCACGGTAACCGGTTTTGGGCTCCGGTTACCACGGTTGCCTAAATTTTTTTTTTTAAAAAAAACCACCACCTTCACGCCGACCAGGGAAGGTGGTGGGTTGTCATAGAGGGTGTGTGGTGGGTCATCGGTCAAAAGGGGTTGTGATCGCCGGTTGAAAGGGGTTGTGGGTTGCCGGAAGGATGAAAGGATGGTGAAGTAGTAAGGATATGATTGTCCATTTACATCAAATGTTGGCGGTGGTGATCATTTTTGTTGGCGGTGTTTAGCAATCCACATAAATAATTGATTGGATACATTATACAAATAATTTACGTGCAAAACATTTAAAATAAAAAGAGTTTTTTGATTTTTTTTTTTCACTTTGAAATATGGTGTATGTTTTGACTTTATATATACAAATATGATTTCCTTAATATTATATTAATAACAATTAGTTATGATTTTTTAAATCAAAAATGATACTTAAAATGAAAATTTATAAAAAAATAAAAAGCAAAATGTGTTTCTTTTGTACCTCCACAAGATTCGAACACAAGATGACTATCCATCATAACTCAAGGGGTTTGTTTATTAGACCATTGGAAAATATTTTATTTTAGAAAAAAAATAGTTATTAAAGATTAGTTATACATCTAAAAGTATATCTTTGTTCCCTTCAAAGAAATCAAAAAATTATGTTTTGTTAACAACAAGGTGTTCTCCATCTTCGTACTTCAACTTAGGATAATATACAAGCCTCCCACCATGCCAGATTGTACACCTTATGGAATTTGAACATGCCACTCTGATCTTTAAAATGCATGTACTAAAAATGGATCTAAGAAAGAGAAAAAAAATGTGTAAAAGGGAAAAAAGGGCAAAGTGGATTGGGAGGTGATGTCGGTTGGAAGTCTGGTCCACATATTCCACAACACATACCATTAGTTTTATTAATTCATTTCAAACTATAGTGTGTACTAGCATTTTAAACATGTTGTACGGAGATCTCATAGTGACACGTTTATCAAACAAGATTTTATTAAAAGAAGAATAATTCTTTAAAATAAAAAATGTTTTTAGGGGACAAAAAAAAAGATGATTTTATCATGGTCTCAAGGTTCGAACACTGAATGCATTTGAATAATACAACATTTTGATAATATCAACACCATAGGACTAGGGGGGTATCAGCACATTCACTGGATTACATATTAATATGTATTATTAGTTGAATAGGTTCTCTTTTTATGTTTATCAAAGTAGTGAAAATTTTAACTTATTAACATACTTTTTGTTTTAAATAAAATAGTTTTTTTTAAATACTAATAAAATAGTTATTAAATATAAATAATTTATATCTAAACGTATAACCTTGTTTCCTTCACTAACATCAAATAATTAAAAACTAAATAAAAGATATACGTATAACATTGTTTCATTCACTAACTTTTATGTTATTCTGATATTTTAAAATTAGATATGATTCTGTAAAGTTAAAAATAATTAAAAACCAGAAAAAAAAAAATACAATTTATGCTGTCACAGTGTTCGAACAGTGGTTTGATGTATGCACATGCAGCTTTCAAAGTTAACCATTGGACTAAGGGGTATTAGCACGTTCATTATGTGGGAAAAAAACTATATATTACAATGTTTGTATGAGCGTCCCAACAAATCGTTTTCTTGGAGTCGATTCAAATTTCGGATCGTTTGTTTTGGGTGAATGTAAAACATAATCTTTAACCAATTTTGCAGCTAATAATTCTAAATCTGTTTTTGTTTTTCACACCTTCACTATACTTTCATTCAAAGTAGTTTATTCTTCAAATATATAATCACTACAATTCATTTTAATAATTGTAAGCCACACCACGACGGGCCGGAATATACATGAACATTACAAAAAATTCACCGACGCCGATAGGTTGTTCACCGGCAACACATTCACCCACGCCGTTCGCATTTTAACCAACACCTTATCGCACCGCCATCAATCTGTTTCACGCTGAAATTCAGAAAATCAGATTTGTATATTGTTCTTCATTTGTTATTTACACAGATACATTAGAGGGGAAACATTAGGAGAGAGAAATTAGAAAAAACGACATATGCATCCCATAAGAATCCTAGAAATTGAAATGTTAAGTTAAATCAAATATTTTATTTACATTTTATTCATTGCTCTTCATTCGTTATTTACACAGATACATTAGAGGGGAAACATTAGGAGAGAGAAAAAAAATGAGGTCAAAAAATCTGTTTTTTTTTTTTTTTTGGAATTATATACTACATTAATTTGGGTAGGTGAAAGGATAGATAAATTTAAAATTCAAAAGTTGAAATTTAAAAAAACAAGTTTGAAATTCAAATGAAAATGAAGGTGGCCCACAAAAAAGGAATATTCCCAATCAACCAATAGGAAACTTGTGTACAAGATTCCTTTTGTACACTAAGTGTACCTTAAATTGCTCCCTAAATTATAATTTATCATTTTAAGATCTTAAAAATGGAATGGAAAAAAAATGCGTAAAAAAATTGGGAAAATTTGCTAATTGTAGCCACATTTTAAGTGTATTTTAAATCTTTTACCTATCACTTGATTATACTCCTAACAGTTTCTTAGTCTCATTTTAAGTGTATTATATCATGTGAGGTTCGCTTTCTTAAATATTGTAATAAAGTGTGTGTTGAAACTATAAATAAACGGAGGAAGTATTTTGTAAAATGCAGCCGCCCGACTTCAAGATAGAGATCTGCTACTTTATAGAGTTCACTAGCGAAGTAAAGATCATTAGATTTATTTTTTTGCAAATTGCAGCCCAAAAGTACTAATAACTTTTTTTATTGCTACCCAATTTAATTATTTTCTCGATTTGCGTGCCAAAAAATATCCCTTTAAAAATCATTTTAGTTACTCTAAGATGTTTTTTTCATTTGCCACATCACCGTTAAACAAACCCTTCACTTAACAAACCTTTCATCAATAATAAATAAATCTGTTCAAAAAATTTATATGTGAGACTGTAATACCCCGTATTTTTAACCCGTGAATTAAATCTCAAAGTATCTTATATAGTATATTTTAAAATTATTTTATAAAATATTATTATTATTTGCAATGAATTTAATTATATAATACAAGTCAAGTCGAAATTGTTTTTCAACCCTTAGTATCGTGTTCCCGATTCAATAATCTTGTTTCCGAGTTGAACTACAAATTATCAATTGCATTTTGGTTAAGCCCAAATACTTATTGTAGTACACTAGTACTACACAAAACTTGTACTACATATTTCTTCATCCAATACAAGTACTACTACCTCTAAAAAAAAAATAAAAAAATAAAAAATAAATAAAAAAAAAGTCTTCCTCCTATTCTCTTAAAGCTCCTCCGTAACCACCCCGTTGCCGCCCAACCACCACCACCGGAGACCACCAACTAACCATCAACCAACAAAGGTAGCACCAACTCCCTCCTTATTCCTTGATTACCGTAGCTACTTCAATTCATTACTCTTGATAATACTATACTACTATGAACTACATACTACTTATTATCATTACTATAATTATACTAACATTACTATTGTTTTATACTTATGATCATCATTATTGTTATTTTTATTACCTTATTTTGATGGTGTCACTCTAATACTACTACTTTTCATCTTAATACTTACATTATATATACTACTCCTACGTACTTACATTGACTATTTTAAAGACAACTACTACTTTTACTACTATTTATATAAGTATTATTATTATTACTATTAAGATGATAATACTCTTAGTACTACTACCCTTATACTACCTACTAGTACTACGCACTTTTCAATTTTATTATTATTATTATTATTATTATTATTATTATTATTAAAAAGGGTTTTAAACTTTGGTATTATAAAAGTTAATTTATAAAACCATTGTCCATGCACAACTAGTTAAGGGTCTACAATATACTTTTCTCGTGTTTATTATTGGAAGAGTTGTTGATTAGATATATACTATTGGTTTAATGTAGGAGGATTGTCGAGTTCGTAATTAAACCTTCGTGTTTGTTTGATACGCTAAGATCGATCAAGGTACGTACACGTGGCTAGATCTTTTAAAAAGTGGATTTTATATGCAACGTGTTTTACATGTTAAGTGATTTCAAACCATGTTTAAATAATTGTGAAATATATTTCGGTGAAGCATGCTTAAATCGTTTAATCTCAAATGTTAAAATATTTTATATGGTTGATTATAAACTTGTACTGATATTCAAGATGTTTTAAAAAGGGAGTTTTATTATTTATATTGTCCCGAGTATGGGATATTGGAAAGTTTATTTAACAAAATTTATTCCTTGGATCTTTGGATTTTCAACTCCCACTATGCGGAGTAAGTTGAAGACTATGGACTTTGTATGACCTAGTCTTTCCCCTTGATAGCACTATGTAAAGGAGTTACTAGCTTGGGGGATGTGCACACTTAGATGGGAAAATGATTTATGAAAATATGGACTGATCCATCCTATTCAGAATTATCTTTGGAAAGTTGATTATTTTGGAAATTGGTTCTTTTGACTAGTTTTTATACATGAATTTCTATTCAGGAATGGTTTGGATAAATTATGATTTATTAAAGTTAAATCTCTTCGAAAGCATGTTTAATTAATTAAATTGATTTTACATGTCTAGCATTTGTATGTACTTAGCATTTTGGCTAATACGTATTTGTTTTGTTTGGCTTGGCCCTACTTATCATTTTGATAAGTAGATAGGTGATGGCGATCAGACAACGTGAACTATATGCTGCATTGGGAATGATGGGCGGTGATCACCTAGTTTAATTTAGTATACATAGTATTAGTGGTGTAGCTATTTTGAAAGTGTATCAAACTATTATTATTAATGAAAGTTAAGTACTATTTTCCGCTGCAAAACTCTGTTAAGCCTTACGTAATCACGTGTCGGTAATACTCCCATGTTACTCCCTAAAGTTGGATTATTATTGTAAAGTGGCCTGGGCTCAAACAAGATTTATTTTACAGACATTAAAAAGGTCCAAAATTCATCCCCATCCCTATTTATACAATTATACTCCACGCTTAATTGTAGAGTATCTTAGCATATGAGCTCCCTAAAAGAAAGATGCACCTTGTTGGTAGGAATAGTATATTAAACTCCTTTAATTTTAAAACAATCATGAGGGGTATTAGTGTATTACACAAGGCCATCACCCATGCGGTATGGTTTTTAATTTATCACCAATTCACCATCCCTGCCTCACTACCCACCAAACCAGGACCCATACTTGTCCGGTGGTGTCCCTAACCTCAATGTACACATCGATCTACTATTCTTAATGGGATTTAAGGTGACCTAACCCATCTATAATAATCCGAACTCAAACTCAATCCGAACTAACCCAAACTCAAATCTAAACCCCAAGCATTATTTGAAGGCTATATGATTCAGTGGGGATTGGATAGCTGGATTAAGACCCTGTTCAATTCACCTATAAAAATAATGTTCAATAAAAAATAGTTTCAATTTAGTTCAGTTAAATAAAACTAGTTCAGTAAATATAAAACCAGCTCTGTAAATAATAAATTAAGTTTAGTAAAAAGAATTTCAATTCAATAAATAATAAATTAAGGGGCTTCAAAAAAAAAAAGGTTAAGTAAAAATAATTTAAATTCAATTAATATCAATAACTTTTAAGAAGAAATATAATAGAAATCAGTAAAAATAATTTCATTGCAGTTAAAAAAAAAGTAATTTCAGTGTATGAAAAATAATTTCAGTTTAGCATAAATAAGGTGAAGTGAATTTGATCTAAATCTTTAGCAATAAGTCTTGTGTAAGGCGGGTTTACGTTAATTTTATTATAATACAACCAATTTGAGGATAACTTGAACAATTTTTATGGTAACTTTAACCCCATTAAAGGTTAGTATTTATTTGTATGAGTTTGATTGTATTTTAATATGTAATTTGTAATAAATACATGTTTTGAAAGGTTAAAGGCTAATATGATTAATCTAATACATTGTAAATGTCTTTTAAGGGTAACATTTTTGTTATGAAAGTGACAACTTTTGTAGTTTAAAATAGAGGTGATCAACATCGGTCCGACCCGAAAATAGGGTGGATTTGAGCAAGCCTAAAAACGCATTTTTAGTTAAAATCCCGAACTAGGCCTGAAAAAAGCTCAAAAAGCTTGCTTTGTCCTGATAAGAAGCCCGCTACTTTTTTTGCTGGTTTGGGCATGACTTTTCATGTTAAGGCTCGATTCGGCCCAATTTTTTTTATCACCTCTGATTTTAAATTGTAAAGCCCCGTTCTCTTCACCTTACTTTTGCTGAACTGAAATTATTTTTACTGAAACAAAATTATATTTGCTGAACTTAAATTATTTTTACTGAATTTAAATTAATTTTACTTAACTGAAATTATTTTTGCTGAACTGAAATTATTTTTACTAATTTTCTATTATAATTCTTTTTTAAGAAAACTGAATTTTACTGAACTGAACTAAAATTATTTTTACTGAACTTAACTTATTTTTTCTGAACTGAACTTTAAATATTTTTAAAGTAACTTTGAACCGTCATATAATAACTTAATGAAAGTCCGCATTAATCAATAATTTGTGAATATTATTGTGGAAACTACAAAGACGGACCTTGACCCGAAAAACAATCCATTACACTTGATTTAGACAAGCCCATACTCATAGTCTCATAGATAGAGTCCATAGTCCATAGAGCACGGGTGTAAGTTGCGTGACCAATTTCATTCAATCCATTTTCCCGCAATTAATTTGGATTTGCTATCTTTCAGTCAATCGAATTTTCAGTAAGCAGACCAAAATCCCCTCCCCTCCCATATCACGTCTTCTTCTAGAATTCGCCACAACAATTCAAGGTATGATTTACCATCCTCAACATCATTACATCACTAGCTTACTATAGTTTAGTATTTACTTTCTTGTAACCCTTTACAATTTTGTTGAATTTTGGTTCGTATGTAAATACTTAGAAAGAATTTTATTTTTTTTGGAAATTTGATAGTTATTGGCTAATTTGGGAGTTGACCTAATTAAACATTTGAACTGTAATGAATATGTTACCATATTTAGTTTGTAAAAATTATGGGTGCTTGCAAGTTGCGACAAGTGTGGGAAGAACTTTTAGAGACAGAGGGAGGGTATACAATATGAATTTAATAGTTTTAGGGCCATTATGCTTACAAATACTTGGTATTTTGGGAATGTAGGGTTTCATTGGGGTAATTAGGGTATGTTGCAAAAATCTTACTAGTAGATACGAAGTAATAGTAATAAGTAATCGCAAGTGACATGGTAGAATGAGTAGTGTTGGAATGTAAAACGAGTCGGCAAGACAAATGTGTATAACTAATCATATAGTGGTTCAAGAGTTTGGACTATTCCAAAATCTATAGTCATCGTTATTCGTTCCTATATCAATTACTTGTATGTAGTTTTAAAAGTCGCTTTTTAATGAATGGTATGAACAATTTACTCATGGGTAAATTAATTTTGACTTAAATATTAGGTAATTAGTGTGGGTTTATACTTTTGTAACACAATTTTGTTCATTAAACACCCCTAGCTGTAAAATTTAGCCCAATGACCAAGTGATTGGTATATAATGCATATTCCTTGATTTTTATTGTCCTGTTAAGTATTATAGTTACAAGAAATCATTAGTGTAACTGGGTTAATGATACCTTTTATATGGTATGAATTATGATTTTGTAGTACTGAAAATGTAGATTAGATCTATGGTATAATATAGATGAGCAATCTTTTTGTTTAGTGGGGTAAAGTACAACTACTAGTTATTTGACATGGTTGGAATCTGACATGTATGTCTATTATGTTATGATGTTTGCTTATGTTGAATAATTCCTTGTTTTTGTTGGAAATACAATTTAGTACAAATTTTTTGGGAGCAGTCTTTGAGAATCATGATTTCCCTCTGTGTGATCCTGTTGATGGTTGTCAGAAAACATTGGATTGATTTTGTTAATAGTTGTTGAAGTGAGGACTTAATTGAGGAATTAGTTTTTAGTTGGAACTTGGAAGGTAATGATGAAAGCAGCAAGAAATGAGATTAGCTTAAATGTTTGTTTACACATAGTTGCATTGAGGAACTCATAGCTGATCTCAAGGAATGTTAAAAATGTGGCTATGAATTTTGTGCTATCTTGGCCTATTGGGTGGTTGTGAATCGTGATGGTAGGGATTAACTAATTTGCCAGTCCTTGGTTCAACGCTATTAGCCCTCACCGCCCTTCAGCATGATTGACCCTTTACCAACTTCACATTCAGTCACAGTTAGTTCCAAAATTGTATGTTTGTATCCGACATTATGACTTAAATACTTAAGTATCAAGATACCATAGGAATTATCTTAGTTATTGTTGCTTGATTTTGACTTATTGATGAAGCTAGAGGAAGTTTACTGGTTATAATAGATAACTCCTAAATCCCCTGTATCAAGTCGGATTAACAAGTGAAATGCATTTGTGATATGCACATCTCTTGATTAACCTATCATCTCTAGTAGAGGGCTAGAGGCTATTGAGTGAACAATTAGTATCATAGTTCTGATTATAATAATCAGTTGCACTTGATCGTACAAATGAGAGTGAACTATTCAAAACAGTAGAAGCTAAAATCATCTGTTACACAAAAGAGGTGAACCGTACAACATTCTTAGGAAATTGTAACGAAATAAGTGGGTGTTAATTTGTAGGATCAACTAACTTAATTGCTAAAGTAGGTTCTTTGACAATGAAAACTTGAGATGTTTGGCATCCAAAGCAGTATGACTACGTAAGGGCCCCAATGTTATTGCCTTTCACATATGATGTCCTATAATCTCTCAATTATGTGGTTTATAAGCATATTAGCCTTTTTTCTTGTCTCACTTGTGAAGATTATTGTACTAAAGCATAATTTGCTTTCTAAGTACGTTTTTAGTTTCTTGTTCTTCGCATATTAGGAGTTTATATTCGTTGGTAATTATCATTGAACTATAATTTTATCAAGGTGACAGAAAATTGCTGGAAAAAAACTTGATTGTATTTGGAACACTTTTGCTTAATACCTGAGCTGACTCGGCCTGAATTGAGCCTTCAATTTCTGGCCTGACTAGTTTTCTTGGTAATTTTGTCCTAGGCCATTCCTTCTCATTAACCTCAGACTTGACAGTGTTAGGGGCAGAATGGCCGGATCATTTGTTCGTTGTTTTGCCTGGTCCATGATCAGCCCTAGAAATGCATTATGTTGAATTGTTGATATATCTTAAGTTACCTAAGTCCATGCATGCTTCACATCTATTTCTGCATGAGAATATTAGATACATGATTAGAATTAATTTTTTTTTTTCTTTAATGTTTCTTTACAGATATTCAGACAGTTTATCTTTTCGATTGTTTCATTTCAAGTCCACTTTAGACCCAATGAAGCAGAATAGCAAAGAAAACCATAACTGAGTGAAGGTGAAAAGCAAACATGAATTTTGCATCAGTGTAACGATTTGGTAAGTGTCAATTCCATAATGAACCTCGGTACTCTAAATGTGCTCCCTCCGTCTAGAATTATTTGTCATGATTGATAATGTATTTTATACTAATAATGTGACAACTAAATCTTGAGAGAGGTAGTATTGCATTAAGGCTATGTGGATTGACAATCTACAATTTTTCTCTGAATATAGATGATGCGTGCCTTATTGATGTGTGCATTATTGCTGTATGCATCTATTGGTAACATTAGCACTAGTTTAAAAAGTCAATAAGTGGTCTGAGTTCAGAGCCAACAAGTGATGATACATGCTGTTTTATTTCTTTGATGTGTGTGTGTGTGTGCAATACATGCTGGAACTTTTTGACTCCTATCTTTGACAATGTGTTCCATTTCTACTTTAATTATCCTCTCTACCATCACTATCAGTATATGCATATGTTTCTTCTTTTGTGGCTCATCATCTTCTTTGTACCTATCCTTAGGTGTGCTACTT